TCTGCTCGGCAGCTGCGGGAGGACGTGTTTCTTGAACAAAACAGCCGGTTTTGGGCGCTATTCCGCTCCCCCCCCCACCCAGGGGTGTCTCGGGAGCGCGGTGTGTCATCGTTTTCCGCGTTTTGGCTGTGTCCAGCTTTGTTTCTGAAACTCGTAACGGAGTGCTTTGTTGAGGACAAGGGCGTAGTTCTCAGTGTTTATTTAACCTATTTCGTTTACCGTGTTTCTTTCGAGTCTTGCAGCGGGTATAGTTTTACGTTTTAGCTGTTAGTGAAATAATGTGCTCAAGCATATTGTGAACCGAATGCTTAAGTGGCAGATGTTTACCGAGACTTGTGCAATTGTGACTCCGATTTTTGTTTCCAGCCATGACCATGCAGTTCATCAGTCACCGGTTTCCAGAGGATCATGATCCCACAATTGGTAAGAAAAATCTTTCCTTTTGCTTTGCTGTTCACACTCTCTCGTCCATTGCTTTAAAGTACTCAATTTAAAGAAAGCTATAAATTTGGCTGTAAATTGAGGACTTAAGTCCCTTAGGTTACTCATTTAAAGATATTAAGAGTTCTGAGACTGCCATGAGGACGGGGTTGCATATCCTGAGTTTTAGATCTTTAATGGTTTTTCTGTCATATATGTTCAGGCCATGCGCTGTCTATATTTGTCTGTATGTTGGCAGACAAGGATGAAAAACTGCTGATAAGTGATTATTAGTTGTCTATTCAAAAAATCTAGCCTCCATGCTGTAGATCAGCTCTCTGCTATTAATTTATGAGGCCAAATTGTGCTCTGTGTTTTAGAAATTTGGAGGGGTGAAAGTGCTTAACACCTTACTATATTGCTGCATAACTTTTGCAGCATCTCTTAAGAGAAACCTTAAGCAACAGTTACGCTGTCAAAGGAAAAGTGGCAGAACCAGCCAGCTTCTTGTTGAAAGCAGACTGTTGCAGTGTGGGAGTGCTGACTTAGAGGGACAGGATATTTATTGTCTTACTTTTAAGAAAATGGCAGTTGGTGGTGGCCAATTCTTCTCTTGAATCATGGGTATTTTCTGGCTTTGAGAAAAATGTAATGCTCTTACTCTGTGCTGTCCACCAAGGTGTCCAGAATTGAATTTATAGGATGTGGTCACATGTCTGTCAGAAATAGCATGTACAATAGCATGATTTTAGCAAAGAGTTGGGAGGATACTAAATCACACCAGAACAATTAAAAATTTAATTTGTTGTTAAACAAAGATCAGACTAATTTAGTATAGTAATATTACCAAATTAGTTTCTTCTAGCGTAACGTTCTCTTTGTGAATTGATGACTAATGAGTATTGCAACTGTATTCCAATCATGTCCTTTCCGATGTGCCGTGAATTCACAGAGGACGCTTATAAAATACGAATACGCATTGATGACGAACCTGCCAATCTGGATATCTTGGACACAGCAGGACAGGTATGTGAGTAATAATAAGTGAATTGGGAGGATGTTAAGAAGTCTGTAACAGTCAGGTGTAGAGACAGAAATCCTGTAAAAGTATGCCTGACTTTTCTTCCAAATTGTTTTTGACCTCTCTTACTTTTAAGCATCATGTTGCTTATAGGATCTGTATGATACTATCTATATTTAGGCAGCTCAGGTGGTACTCTGGTTACATGCACTGTTTTCTCCGTTGCACCTTGCTGTTCATGATCCACAAGCAATACGTATTGGCTGATAAATGATATGTTGGTATGATTTCTATAGCGAGGGAAACTTGGTGTTAATCCCAAACATGTGCAGTATCTTGTCCTATATGTAATGGGACAAGAAGATAGATGACCAGCTTATTTACAGAGTTCCTATGCAGCTGTTGTTGGAATGCATATTGTGTTTCCCATTCTAGGCAAATTAGAAAGTCATTGTATTTGTGCAATTGAAATTTAATTGTCTGTTTCTAGGCAGAGTTTACGGCCATGAGAGACCAGTACATGAGGGCTGGCGAGGGATTTATCATCTGTTATTCAATCACAGACCGGCGCAGTTTCCATGAAGTGCGTGAGTTCAAACAGCTGATCTATCGTGTTCGACGCACTGATGACACTCCCGTGGTCCTGGTAGGAAATAAATCTGATCTGACACAGCTACGGCAGGTAAATGGCACAAAAGAGGGCCACAATTACAAGCTATTTCTGTTGTAAAATGCAGTAATACAAGAGGTTATACTCCCTTTCTTAATTTTTTTGCATGTTTACTATATAGTAAGTTTAACATTAGAGAAGTACTTGTTTAACCCAGAATGTGTTGAATAACCAAATGCATATAGCAATCACAAAAGTAAAGTCTTCAAGTTGATGCTTTGGGTTTCAGCTGCTCTTGGGCTTTTCCTTTTTTTTAATTCTTGGAAGGAGATACTGTTAATAGAGATTTAGCATTCCATAAACCACTTGCAGATACCAGTACAAATTGCAGATGCTAGTGTGCTAAGAATGGACGCGTAATAATGGAGAGCTTGGGTAAGAATGGACAGAAAAGAAAATTAATTTCAGCTTAAGAAAACAGTAACTACCGTCTGTGGGAAAACAGTTTGAAGCAGAGCTTCACTCGAAGGACACGTGCTTTGGAAAACACATTCCAGAGTTTGTATACCTGGAATTGGGTGAATTTTCAGTGTGCGATGTAGCAGGAAAATTATGGTAGCTCTGGTAGAACACCCGTGCTAAGAGATGTAAAGTAGATCGAAGGACGCGTGCTTTGGAAAACACATTCCAGAGGTGCTGTTTGTATACCTGGAATTGGGTGAATTTTCAGTGTGCGATGTAGCAGGAAAATTATGGTAGCTCTGGTAGAACACCCGTGCTAAGAGATGTAAAGTAGAGGATAAGGAATGGGTGTTGCTTTTCTATGGCCTCGACAAGGCTGGGTTTTTTTGGGTTTGTTTTTTCTTTTTGAAAGGTTTTGCTTGGTTCTGGGAAATTTTACGAACATAATAATTTTCAACAGGAGAAGGAAGTACCCTTAGCTTACCAAACTGACAAATGCTTGTGTTAGGGCTGATGACTGCTCATGTTAGGCAACTTCTAGATTAAGCGCCAAGAAAAGAATATTCTTTCGAAGGACTTTGTTGTTTCGTGAATGTCCGGAGAGTCTCTTGCAGATGATTGCGTTGCTAGAGAAGCAATGAGTGAAAGAGAAGGAAAAACAGGTTTGTAGAGAAAGATTTAGAGATCAGTGGAAATGAGCTGTTCTGGAACTGGGAGGGTGCGTGCACAGTTACAAAGCAAGCAGAACAAGAAATGGTAAAGAAAGAAACTTTTGGTTTTAGCTTTCTTGACAAGTGTAAACTTTTTTTTCCAGGTCTCCAAAGAAGAAGGCTCTGCTTTAGCACGAGAATTCAACTGCCCTTTTTTTGAAACATCAGCTGCATACCGTTATTATATCGATGATGTATTTCATGCCCTTGTGCGAGAAATCCGCAGGAAAGAAAAAGAAGCAGTAATGGCAATGGAAAAAAAATCAAAACCTAAAAACAGCATGTGGAAAAGACTGAAGTCACCGTTTAGAAGGAAGAAGGATTCAGTCACCTGAACAGAGAGAATTCCTCTACAAAATAAAACAAAACCTGTGAACAGCCATTTGTAACCAAAGCGGTTTAGTGACAACATTTTGACAGCATGTTTTAAACCTGATGGGACTTTTATGAGGGAATGCATAACTTTTACCGATTATTTTTGTTTAGAATGATATTCCCTAATTTTGGATATTCAACTTAAGACACAGTAACAGTTGTACTTTTGTTTGTTGTCATTTTTTTACTGGATCCAGCAAATGTTGCTTGTATGTTGTTGGTTACAAATGCTGATAGGTTTATGTCCCTGCACTTTCGAATGTTTGTCTTCGGTCACTGCGTACTGGAAGCTGAATTGTGTAAAATATTACTGAAGTTCTACCCAACCTAACTTAATTCATTTTTTTCCTAGTTGTTTGCACAAGAAAATTTTGCTGCTCAGTAATATTTTGCTGAACAGTAACCCAGATCATGAGAGGTGGCTTGTCGAGGTCGTGCTGAAAAGCAGTTTACAAAGTGTGTGTCATGACTAGCAGCCTTGGCTGTGTATAGATTTCATTGAACAGAGCTGTGCTAGAGTTCTTGTGTTCTCATTGAATAGACTTTTTCCTGCAAAAGTAATGTGGAATACTTGTACAAGTTTATCTAAATTATCAGTTAATCCGCATGTTAATCAGGTGGGATTCTAAACAAATCAGAAAAAGCAAATTATGGTTCCTATGGCAGCTGTAACTTGGCAACAGTGCATGAATATGTAGCATTTTCCTACTGTATATAGCATTTACTGTGTTGCCATAGCATTTGTAATGTAATGATGCTGTAGAAACCACAGCCTTGAATTTTCTGACTTGCTTGCTAAAAATGGTGCGCTGGCTTATTTATTTACATTCAGTTTTATGTTCTTGTTTTAAAGGAGCCAGTATCTTTGTTAAGTAGAAGTCTCTAACATAGTCATTTCAAATTATTCTATGATAACTACTTTGTAGAGAAAATTATGGATACCGAGCTATGTGGGCCCAGATGTAATATCCCTAATACTGGTAAGATTCTTCCAGTGCAATCTTAAAAGTAGAATTGCCGGTGCAGTGGAAGGAAGCAATGAGCTGGGCACAGTGACAGTCCTGACAGATATTCACACCCCTGACCTTGCGTATGCAGGCGGTCCAGGCGGGGCAGGTACAGGTTTTCTTATGCTCAGTAAAGAATGATTTGGTTAAGAAGGTGCTTCTGAGGCAGACCCTCCATACCATTTAAATCCAGCAGAGAGACAGATGTCTGGTGTTCCTCTTGATTTTGTTTTTTAATAATAGCACAAATCATAGGTAAGTAACTCAGACATGGTTAAAACAAGTTTCTCGGAGAACTAAGTGCCTAGAATCTTTCAGTTTAAGAGTGAAAGAGCTTAGTAGACTAAGTGTAGTATAGCTTCTGTTATTCTTCGATTGTCGGTGTCAGTAATTATGTTAATCTTACTGATCAAAAATCGGATCTGTGATGGCAGTCTTAGTGTGCTGCATGTGATAGTGCAGTCAAAACTGAAAATTCGTATGTAAAAGGATTAGTACAAGAAGCGAGGATAGCAAATATATAAACTTAAGCTTTTTCTCTTGCTAAACTCCTTATTGCTTAAGATACGACTGGAAATTCTGTGCCTTTTGGTTTTAAAAGTATTTTCTTTGTGTAAGATTTAAAAAAACTTATAACGAGAAATTGGGGGGGGAGGGGGGGTGTACATTTTTTTATTTTGTTTGTGGCCAAGCTAAACATGTAAATTGGTTTCTGTTTCTCACTTCCTTCCAGTGCTCCAGTGTTACGCTACGCTGGTAGTAATCACACGTACGTGGTTTGAAAAAGAGGCTGAGAGTAATTCAGGCTGTTTAGAATTTAAGACCTCTTTTACGTTAACTGTGTGAGCAGTTGTGCACGTCTTTTCAGTAGTTACTGGTTTAGGACTGAAAGCCCTACTAATCATTCATTGTTGGATTAAATGCTGTCTATAACTCAGATAATCCTAGGAAAACCATCTAGCAGAAAACTTGAAAAGAAGGAGGGGGCGATAGCTAAGAAGTTGCTCTAAAAGCAGTCGCTGATTCTGTCATCTTAAAAATTATTTCAGACCAGCCTTCTGGAAATGCTGAACAGGGGCCTGATTGCGATTACAGGTTTTCCCTGTGCTTTTCCTTGATACAGTAAGTTAACATAAAATACTAGTCGGCTTCCTACATTCAGAGTTTCCGGATAATATGTAAAGGTAATCTGTCAGCAGTACTGAAAGCTCTATGGGACTCTTTTCGCCTTTCAATAACTGATGTCTGTGCCTTACGTGATTCCTTCAATGCGGTTTAAGTGTTTACTAATGCCTTTTGTGAGCCTGTTGCTTATAGAATTATTACATCAGAACAGCAGCAAGCACTTTTTTTACAGTGTTATTCAAGAAGAGTTTTATTTTTGTCATGTATAAATTTGTACACAGAATTATTGTTTTATTTGACACAATATATAATTTTTAATACAAACATTTGCATTTGATGTTTTAATTTGTGGTGTCTAGCATGATGGGTAGAAGGCCATTCCGCCTGAGAGTGCTGATGAAGGAAAGCTCATGGTGTGTTTGTAAATTATTTTAGAAAATGCTTATCTTGCTCAAAAAAAAAAGGAGTTGGTGTGTTACCTTTAAGTGGGGCAAAGCTTAAAAATTCTGTGATGCGAGTCTGGTGCTAAATCATTTAATTATGATCTGGACATTTTGCAACTGTATTACTTTACCTTTGTATGTTCTGCGTAAGGCGTGTTGGCTTTCCGAGTTAGTTACGAGTGGGGCAATAGCAGCTGCATGAGGTAAATGTCCAAAGCTTTGCCCAGATACTTGAGTATTGGGGCACTGGCCAAAGTAATCCCTCTGCATTTGCCACTGCCTCCGTTTCTCTGTGCGTTGGTTGTTTGCGTTTTACTATTTTGTACTAGTAGGAAGCAGCTGGGTTTAGACTCCTTTGGGACTTTGGTAAAGTTGGTTTTTTCTTTCCTTAAGGTATTCATACTGTAGCCGAACTTGCAATGTAACTCTTGCTTTATGACTAACAAAAGGCTACTGTCATCGCTTGGGTTGGGTTGGAGAGGATCTCGTGTGGTGGTAGAGGCGCAGAATGGTTTAGCTTCTCCTGCACACAGCATTAACGTCTCCTGGTGCTCCGCTAGGCGTTTGGAGCTTCTCCAACTACCATCTCTTGCAACCATGTCTCGTAAGAATCGTCTCATTGTTCGTGGCAGTAACTCGGGTGTGCGTTTTTCTGGTCTGGAGAGACACGCTGGAATTGCAGTGGTTGTGGCAGTGAGGTCCCTGACTGGGTTTATGACCGTATCTGTTTTGCCGTCTAAACAGATGAGTTGGCAGATAAATCTTCCCCTGGTTGGTAGCCTGATATACCCACTTCTGCTTTTGTGAGAAAGCCTCTTGGACTATAATTTTGGACTAAATGCAAGATTCTTAGAAGGTTAACTCTCATGTATTTTTGTTCAACGCGATGTCCAGCTGACAGCCGTGAATCACCTAAGTGTCAGGCAGATGTTGTTGTGGTTCTTCCGTTATTATCCTTCACTTAACAGAAAGAATATCTGTGTCCATCACCACCTAGGTGATGATTCGGAGTGAGTTTAAAGCACACTTCAGGAACTTCTTATCCAAGAAACTTTGAAAAACTAGAAGTTAATGAAAACTTGGTAGACCTGCAAGACGTTTTTAGCAACATCAAATGACTTCTGGATATATTCTAAGTAGTAGTAAGTAATATAATAGTGATAGCTTTGGTAGTGTAACTTTCTTCCTGTGTGCGCTTTCATCCCGTGTGCAGTTCCATCCAGTCATTAATAGTGTAACTCCTTTCTAAGCCTACTAGGAAATATTCCAGGTCTCTCTACCTTTTAATGCCTGAAAAGCCATGACACATCACGGCTTGCTTCATTTTGCAGACTGCTTAAGGATATGTTGAACAACATCGACTCTTATCGTGTGTTCTCTTAGAGCTTCCCAGTAACTCGTCTGCTGTGAACGGTGTCACCTTGCTCATGCCCCTTTTGGTTTTTATCCTTTTGCAGAGTTGACGACATTCCTTCTTATTCCAAGATAGCTTTGCTTAAGAGTCACAGGTAAGATACAAAATACCGCAATACAGTTCGCCAACTATTTCACCACCTACCTACTAAATCCTTCGATATATCCTGAATAAAGGTCTGAAGCACGACTACCTTTTTCTAATGCTACGTTGTCATTGATCATACTGTTGCTTGTGTTATTTACTGTGGATTGGGCCGGTTTATCCAAAGTCAGCGTGTTAAAGTGTTAAATTCAGTGATCGGTAGGTAGCAGTTCTTCAATAATTTTGCTACGTCTCTGTTGTGTTCTCCATAAATACAGGAAACATAATTTAGACCAAAAAAAAGGCTGTTCTTGCATCTTTTTTGGCTATGTGGCTTTTAAATGTAGACCAAAACAAATTACTTTGCAGACATTCATACTGAAAATTTGTAAGTATGTAGCTACTGTGTCTAGAGACGAATTAGGGGGAAAACGTCTAATTATGTTGTTAGACACAGATGACTAAGAGCTTAGTTTTCAGGCTTCTCCCTAGAAATTTAGAAGCTGTTTCAGCTGTTCCAGTGGTGACCCCTTTCTTAAAGGGCATGAACAAATCTGTGGAATGAAAACATTCCTACCGCTGCATTCTTACAATTCTTTCTCCATGTTTGTCGAGCGCCATTTATCTGTCGTCTAAATAGTTACAGCAGTGGGTTTTTTACATAAAAGCTTACCATAGTGGTACCTTCTGGATCAAAGAAGTCAGTACCGTTGCATACTGGTTGCCTGGGTCTCAGAGTTCACATGGGTGTCAATGTATGGGAGGAGAGAGCTTTTCAGTATTTCATCTCCCCGAGGCCAGGCTTGAAGGTGTTTAAGGTTGTAATTGCCAAGATCTGCTCACAAACAGCGTATCCATCGCCAGGAACGAAGAAATCTCAGCTAGGA